GAGAGAGTGGTAGCTGGGGGAGGAACCTTGACTTTCACGGAGAGGAACACGGGGAACCGTGGAGAAGGGACATGACTTGTACAAGACCCTTGGCTGCTGCCGTGTTGAGAACGGACTGAAGCGTGAAGCCGGGAGACCCTGGCCTACAGGTCAGGGCAGCAATCAAGGGGGATAGGAAACAGCTGGGACAGGATGGGAGCCGAGAGGCAGGAGAAGGCACAGCCCACAGGGTCAGTTGGTGGACTGGATGTTGGGGGACGCCAGGCTGGAAGCCCCGCCCCGTGGGCCCCCGCGGGCGCCCGCAGATCAGCAGTGGGGGCAGCTCCCTGAAGAGCGCCCCTCCAGCCCCTGCCCCTCCGCATGGCCCAGCGCCAGAGCGCGTTGCTGTGGCAACCCGGCCTCGCGTCGGGGTCCAGGCAGGGTCCCCACAGCAGAGCCGGGCCTGGAGGCCTCGGTGTCCCCAGGAACCGGCTCGGCCCGGGGGCCCGCCACTCCCGGCCTGCGCGCCCGGTGCCACGGCCCCGGAGGAGGCAGCAAGTCCAGTCGACCCCGTTAACGTTTTCAGAGCATTTTGCAGCCGCCTCCCTCCACGCACGCGCGCCGAGGCCTGGTCTCCTCTCTGCAGCCTCACCCCCTTCCTGCCCCGGCTGGAGGACCTGGGGGGCTCCCAGGAGAAGGGCCTGGGGGCCTTGTGGAGGTCCCTGACACCCGGACTTCAGCAGGGTCCCCTGGGAGGGTGGGAGGGCGGCCCACCCAGAGGCAGGAGAGCCGGGGTGAGGTGTGTGTGTGAAGCCAGCGCCCCCAGGCTGCAAGCCCCCGTGTCCTCAGCCCTGGAGGTGGACGCCGTGCAGGAATGGGCTGACGAAGCAGGAAGGGAACACGCACGTGGAACACTGTGAGCCGGAGAGGGAGTCGCTACTCCTCGGGTTCATCCAGACGTCCGACTCAAAGGAAAGTTACTGCAACTGGGGAAGAGCACAGTTGGCTGGAGAATTTGGTTTTAAAATAAATAAATAAAATTTAAATTATATAACTAACATGTGTTCAGTGTAAAAATTTTGGAAAACACATGGAAGTATAAAAGCCCTTGATCCCGGGCCGGCCGAGTGGCGCAATGGTTAAGAACTCGCTTGGGATACCAGAGGGTCCCGGTTCGGATCCCACATATGAGGGCCAGTGACACTGCCCTCTACAGCTAAGATGCTGAACAACAGCTCGACCTGGAGCTGGGCTGCCATGAGTCG